ACAGGAGATTCTGTTCACAGCGAATAATGCAGTCAGAAAGTGAAGATTGCCATATCAAACTACAGTTACAAAGAACCCTTTTAAAAGAAAACATGTAAGTTATACATGTCACCAAAAATGAATTTTTCTAATGTGTGTCTAAGAATCTTAAAGAAAATACATCTTATTACTTTATGGCATATGCAAATCTAATTAATTGCTAGTAACCGGAAAACCTAATCCATGTATACTAGCAGGTTTATCACTATAACAATTAAACACGTTTAAATACTGGTATATAAAATTTTATAAATATTACGCTAAGAAAGACAACTTTCAAAACAGAAATATATGATTCATTTTGTAGTCTGACACCCCTTTTCCGATGTCAGCTGCGTAGGATCATGGTAAACAAAGATAATTCCTTCAACTGTGCTGTTTCAATGTGTCGCCCACAGTGAGATACGTATGTTTTAGTGCTTCATATGGAGAAGTTTATTAATAAATTTATATCGATAGTTAAATAATTTTTGTTTCTGTTCTCTTATATGCAAGAGGAAAATGTGAAATTGCATGGATTTTAATATTATGAATATAACTGTGCTTCTAGTGATGACTATTTTAACGACTTGGGAAGATTTCAGTTATAAGCAGGTGTTAGCGTTTATATTCATATAAATTTCGATCATATGTAACAGAATATTCTCGAACAAGTTGTACCACTGAAGCAGATTTTTTTTTATTGATTTAGATGCAATTACCTCTGTAAAGACTTCAACTCTTCAATCTGCTTCAGAACCACACCGCAAATAAAGATAATAGAATTGGCCCCATTTTGAATTATTATGCATTTATGAGTCGACACGTATGTTAGGTATATTACTATGCAACGAGGAAGCTACTTCAGTGTCAGTCCAACAAGATTCAATTTCACACCTGTAAACACAAAGGGTGATATTTCTACTAATGTGTGACTCCCAGAATGCTTGTTTGAAACAAATATTATTAGTTTAACTAGCAGTTTTCTTTTGACAAAATTGGAAGTAATTATGGGAAACTGAAATAAGAGATGTTTGACATTACTCATAACCTGAGTAGTATTTAATACTTATGACTTTATGGGAGTTGAGTTCTTTTTCATTACTATACCCAAGTAAATGTAATATATTTTGTATATTGGCGACACCAGTGTGAGTAGAACCCGAAACTCTTTGTATTCTATACTTTTATAAGCGTACGAATTACCAGATAGAATCAATGATTTTTATATGAATACATTTCATTACGTTACGTTATGAACTGCTATGGACCAAACACTACGTATTACCAGCAGAACAGACTGGGATTTTTACGAGCCTACAAACCGGGGAAAAACACAAGCAACTTGGGAGTGACCGAGCCAGGAGCGTAAGGTGTATGATGCCTGCGAAGTGGATCGTAAAAGCGGTTGTGATTCAACATCCACTTCTACTCCCTTTACGAAACAACAGAACCCATCCATTCATTCCATCACAACCCCACACTAAGCTACCGGAGTAAAGTAAGAGTTCCTCAATCCTAATTCTGGAAGAGGAAGAAAAACCAAGCATTTTCACAGGTCTCTTGGGAATCATCTGGTGTGACGATATAACAGCTTTCAGAATTGTAAGAGTTCTCTTCGCAATCTGTTTCGCCTGTAAACTACAAATGAGACAAAATGCTGTCCCGGTATACAAGGGACACAACACGTTGTAGTGAGCTCCGAAATTATCTGCGAAGGATTTCCCAAACCACTGCGAATCCTTGGTTCGTATTCTGTAGCTACTGTTGTGCTAAAATAAACGGTAAAACAAAGGATTCAACTTGGAATTAATGTAAAGAGAGAGAACCACAGAAGTGCAATTCTTTCGAAAGGAAATATTTATGGTAAAATAAATCAGGACAACGTAAGGAAACTAATAACAACAGATTCTATGAAATCTTCTGGGGCAGTCAGCCGCTTCGAATGGTCGTGTACAGAAAAACCATCGTTGACCACTGTGGGAACAGCATATATCTTGAGGATGATACTGACCTACACCTTAATATTTAATTAAATTCGAATATATCCTACAAATGTTACTTTGTAATGAGCCTCAGGGACAAAGACACTTAACATGGTGTAAAATAATAATTGTTATATACAACCACGCATATAACCATTTTACTTCCACTATATAAACATGAGTTGGTCGTAAAAAATACGTTTCTGTACTTGGTACCGTACTTTCCTACAAATTCAGGTCTCAAGATTCACTAGTTTCTGCTTGGACACGACTAATGTTCTTATAATTAATTCAATTCTTTTTATTAATTAATTTTATTTAATAATAATAATAGCGGAGACCATCTTGAAATACAAGGACCTTCTCACTGAAATACAGCGAATGTGGAAAGTGAAACAAAAGTAATCCCAATAATTATAGGAGCAACTGAAATTGTCTCCAAGTCACTCAGAAAATATTTGGCCAACATCCCGGGAGAACACGACATCATGGAATTTCAGAAAACTGCCATTTTAGGATCTTCATACATCATTAGAAAGACGCTGATTTAAAATATATAGTCATCCCGCACAATAAAACTATATAATACACGTAACACATATTAAAAACAAAATGTATTTCGGATATAGCTGCTGCACTGTGTACCTCAGGGGCAAGGTTTGTCTCGGGTACACAGAAGTAAATACCCTATAAAGTGATGAATAGATGGAATAATAATAGTAATAATAATAACGACGTTAATGCTGGTAGTATTTTCTTCCTGCAGAACGAAATTTTTTCCACATAGATTGCTGGTTGTTAATACAGAATTAGCTTATATTTTACTCAACACAATAAAATATATATATATATATATATATGCTGGAAGGCTGAAAGCCCCTGTACACAATACGAAGTGCTGCACGTACGAGTAGTAAGGAGTGCCTGGAATTGAAGGGCCTCATTACTGTTCGTCGCTAGCACACTGGAGACTTTGGCGTGCGCCGTCCACATGTCTTCTCGTTCATCAGACATCGATCATTATTTCCCTTAATGTGGATAGAAATATTAAAGTAGAGTACTCCACCGATCACCTGAAGACAGAAGTTTTAAAACGACATAAATTTAAATAAATTCCAGCAAAATAAGTGAAATTTTCCTATTCAATTTACTTCTAAAATGTTTTAAACATCACAAATTATATTTTCCGTATTGCATAGTGGTTTTAAATATCCTAGGACTAAACAATATTAGTTAACTACAAACTTAACAATCTTCCAGTTTTAAAAGGAGCACGTGAAAAATTTCGAAGACTTAATTATTTTTGTTAAGATAAATTTTCCCCAATAAATCGTGTCTGCTTAATAATATGCTAATTGACGAGTATTTATACAAGAAGAAACTGTTATCTCAATGTTCAGAAGAAAAATGGCTGCATGTACATAAAAAATCGAAATTGATTCTCTGACACTCCTTCTTCATCCACAAAACTTCTCGTTTGGAACAGTCCCACGTGTCTTTATTAGAGAGCGATACTAATGACTGGGAACCTCCCCAACCCTTACCGAGGGAAGAGGGTGGCAAGCCAGAGATCAAACAACAGGGAGAAGCCGCATGAAGGAAGAGAGAAAAAACAACAAAAGAGTAAAAAAAGCGAAGGCAAAGAACATTTATACTACCGTCAGAAGACACACGCTGCCTGGCGTTGTGATGTTTTGTAATTGAAACCAAACCAAGCTAAGAACAATGGAGGGGGTGGAGTTACATTGATTGAGACGGCTTGCAGCTGAAAAGACGGGTAGTATACATCTCAGCCTGTGAGGACAACAGCGGCACATTTTTAAAAACCTCCCTCTGTTCCTTCATCATTGAACTGACCACAATACCATTATATTCGACAACTTTACGTCTGACTTTTAAATTTGATATTATATTCTGTTTACAATACTTTTATTTTCCGTCGTTTCACAAGCTTATTGTTAAAATCACATAAAATTTCACATAAAATTGTTACATTTTTAAAATTGACGACATGTTTCGATATACAATTCTATCATCGTCAGGTCTATCAAAATTAAAATTAAAATCTGGTGTATCTGTTGCTCTGCTTATATTGATTTTACCCGTTTTTGATTTTATTACATCTCCAGGCTTCTTCCATTTAATTTTGGAGACTGCGCCGATATAGGCACCCAGGCGCAGTCTCCAAAATTAAATGGAAGAAGCCTGGAGATGTAATAAAATCAAAAACGGGTAAAAACAAAATCAATATAAGCAGAGCAACAGATACACCAGATTTTAATTTTAATTTTGATAGACCTGACGATGATAGAATTGTATATCGAAACATGTCGTCAATTTTAAAAATGTAACAATTTTATGTGAAATTTTATGTGATTTTAACAATAAGCTTGTGAAACGACGGAAAATAAAAGTATTGTATTGAGGAACACAAGCAGGATGCAATTAAGATATAAGCTATATTCTGTTTATTACCCAATATTTATAGATGATCCTAATTTTATCCGTGGACTGAAACAATCACGACAAATGAGATCGTGGGAGGTGGTTCAAAATGTTTTTCACAGAAAATTTTATTTCTAACAAATTCTTTGACCTAGATTCAATGTCTTGAATTATATTTTCGGTTAACTGTAAAAATTTCGTGGAACAGAACAAACTTCTACGAGAAGAATATTCATGTAAACAGTCGGCTTACTCCAGCGGAATATTTCAAATAGAGGAAGTTAAATATTATACGACATTTTAATACTTGTAGTAATGATTTCACCACTTTATAATCAGCACGTATCAGTCACATTTATAATCGGCTAAGTTAACTTACTCCATTATGTTAAAATTCATTCTAAAATAATGTTCCCCAACCGGGCATACTGGTGTTCAGCCACACATCATTATAAACACAAAAGTTTGTTCATTACGCCAATAAGAATGGGATATGTTTTGAAGACAGACGTTTAAGTTTGTATAGAATGAGTCCCGAAAAAAAAACTTTAATTTAATAACACATCTTTATTGAATGTTACTCTTATTTTCACTTATGATACGGTACATTTGTGGCACTTTACATAAAAAATGCATCTGAATACTTTTTTTTAATCTTAAAATTGTTTACGGAACGATTAAATTTAACTGCATGTAATCATTTGTGATTTAATCCAGTACAGACGTTGAACAGTCAATGTAGCACTTCACATAAAAACTCTCATTCATTCAAAAGTTTTATTTTAACTGTCCTGTGAAATGAACAAATATATAAACACTGGTAGCCAATAAGTTCGTCATTTTCAAACTCCATGGCACTTTTACGTCGCACCCACTATATCTGTCTTGATATAATGCTCATCTTATAAAACCATCATCTGCTGTAATTACTGAAGATGTATCAGGGTAAAGAGGGGAAAAGTGTAATACCCAAATCTGTGTGTATTCACAACTAGTACAATAGCAGGCTGCAGAACACTTATTTTGAGAATGCGTATATTTGGATATATTGTTGTCCTTTCACACAGTAAGTACAGTATAAAATCTGCACACACGGAAATAATTCTCCTTGGATGTTGCAGAAATAATTAAACTATCTGTGATTAGGCCTATTACTCTGTTCCTAATCTTACCATACAAAATATTGCAAGCCATTTGGCTTTCGCATAAACAGATTTTATATATTTTATTTCATTATGTCTCTTTTAATTTCATTTTACTATAATCAACTGGTTAAATATATTTACAATGGGAAATTCTCAAGTCACATGTAACAATAATATGGAAATTAAAAATTAAGACAAAATACTATGTTAATAATTCCTGTTCACAGAGATGCAATGGGACTTGCTACGAAAGAGAACGAAGTTTCTTCTCACGTCCGTGGAATAAATTCCTGTGGTTTCTGAGGGACTAAATGTAGACAATGACGCTTTAAACAGTAGAGCGGAAAATGATTATTTCTTTTTTTTTTTTTCGTAACCATAACTTAGTAACCATGTGGCCGAAATTTAATTAACAACTTATATATTTATTCATCATAAAAACTAGCCACTATTATAATAATATTTATATTTTTAAAAATAGGTTACTTACGTCTTGAAATGAGTACGAACCTAAATACGCAGAAGATATTGATATTTTCTTTAAATATACAGCATATTTATTTCCACAAACAGCCACATTTAACATCAATGTGAACGAGGACAAGCCTTGAAATTTCCAACTTACTGAGGCAAAAATCATACTAAATATTCTGCTGCTCATTCTTTAAAAAGTTCAGAGATTAAGTACACATGTAACAGGGGAAAAATATAGCAAAAATTCGCTCAAGAATTAACTCCCTTCATGGACGGGATTAAGTGTTTTTCACTAAAAACTTTTTATATTGTTCTGTCAATGATTTTTACCTACATCTTTAACTTTCTTATTACGTAGAAGTTCACCTTTAATTTTATTTAAACTTTCTTGGAAGATTGGAAGAAATGGACTGCTGTTCGAAGTACCATGGTGAACGAATAGTTTTGTATATTATCATCACGCGAAGTGGTGGTAGAAATCGATGCGTACTTTACTACGTACAAGATTCCACACACGAAGTTCGTGCGGCATTTGTTAAAATCTCAATCGTTCATCCCACACAAATATACACATCAAAAGATAGCCGAAGAATGAAAGAAACATAGAAATGAAACACCACAATATTAACAAAACTTATTACTTCCCTCTCGCATTATTAGCAAACACTGATTATAAAATGAAGTACGAATTATAAATTTCTGAAATAAATGTCTGTTTGGCTATAATATGTGCGTTGTGTCTTGTTATCGAAGCAATAATATTGTAGGCCTATTTCTTAAAATAATTAATTAATTATTGATTTATAACTTACATATATTATGCTTTCCTTCTCTCACGTAAAAGTATGTAGCGTTGTTTACATTGATTTTTCATCAACTTCTTAATTAATTATTTCTAAATTAAAGCAGGTTCATAAAAGTAAGCACAATAAATATTTCACATACCTTGCGTTATATATAAACCAACATTCTTTCTTCACTTGTCAAAGTTCTTGGAAGTTTTAGTTTTGCGTTATATAATAATTTATTATGAACACGGGTCGAAGTGCAAATGCAACACTGTAAATACTTGTAGTATTCAATAAAATCTTAAATTTCAATCAAAGTTATTATTTAAATGTGAAGGTCTTTATGTTAAATATTTGTCAATTCGGCCTGGACTAATAGTATTTAAAACATACGTAAGAAATAAGCACGCAATTTCAATTGATTATTCTACTTAAGAAAACGTTCTCATAGCTGTATTTTTTAAGTTGATTTTGTGAAGGCTGTCAAGTTAAGAAGATTACACAAGAACTAAAGATAGATATGAGAGACGAAAACAAAATTTGTGAAATAATATTTCAGATAAAAGTCTTTATTACCGAAATATTTTTGGTATTTTTAATTTACGTATATGCTTCCATATTTTAACGCATGGCGTGAATTACTTGAGGTAGAATAATGTATTCTCCATGGAGATACAGAACTAGCGCTGATTTCACTTTATTCCAAGAATTTCTTGAGGATAATACTGTACATATAGCAGTGGTTTCGTATCAAGATTAAATACTTACGGAACATGTCAGCAGCTGTGTGTGGGACGGTGGACAAGCGTGTTATTATGAAATAATCTTGCTTGAATTCGGCAAATTACCAGACGATCTGCTTAAAAACCTGCAGTCTAAAGAAACAGTGTTGCAGGCTTTAATTATTATTCAGAAGAGTAAGTTTGAAGTATTATGAAATGCTTATAGAGCAGAACAATTTAAACAAGGATGAAAAGAAAATATCCTCAAGACAAAACATTCAACTGGAATCACTGATACTGGTATTAACACTAGAATGAAAAATATATAAAGAACACATTTATTAACAATCAAACAAAGCAAATAATATTTTAACGTGTTAAAATAGAATACATATAATTATTGAATTTTGTTATAACACGAAATTGCGACATACTATAACTAACGCCTCCAATGACCCAACACTCCTTTCCAAGAAGACGTTCTGATTCCTTTGAATAGTAACACCATAAGCGCATAAAATTTCACCAAGAGATTTTAAAATATTGTTTGCTAAAAAATATTCTCAATTTAAAGTACCGTTTAAAATGTCGATCTTTACTTATTATTAAGCTAATTATATTCTTAGTTTATAATTAATACTTTAAAAATGTTTATATATATTAAATTAGAGGATTATACATTTAAACGCTTATTTAATCATATTTTTATATAGGATATAAAGTTAGACGGATTAAGAATAATTTACTTCATCTAGGTAACTGCGCCCTAGTAGAATCAGTAAATTACTATAATCGGTATTTTCTTTCAGCCGTCACACACTGCTGGGAAATCGGGCGAAAATATAAAACTCAGATGACAAGAACCTTTTTACATATTTTCAATATCGTATTTGTGACCTGTTTTCAGTTCAGACCGATGTTGTGATTGAAAAAAAAAAGTCCTGCCGTAATGACGTACTAATAGCTTCTGGTACTACAAATTGTACAATGTTACTTTTGCCCGTGTTCATATTGAATTTACAAAGCAATTTAAACAAATTTCGAAGAAAATGCAATACCAAACACTACATTAAATTTTCTACCAGTCCGTGTTGCTATAGATTTAGTATTCTCCTGTTGCTATAGTAACCAGGCTATACACAACTTTCTTGTTGATTAGCCATGAGCGGGGTTCTGACAGTCACTATCTCGCGATGTAGCAGAGCTGGGTGCGCTAGAGGAGCGCAAGAGACAGGAGACACCAGGGGTGACAGTGCAGTGAGCTGTGGAGTGTCGCATCCCTGTGGAAAGGGCGGTGGCGGCTGATGGCGCCGCGAATGGTCAATCTGAGCATATATGGTTGGCTCCTCTCTGCTCTTCACGACGCCTGACGGGCGCCCGCCGCCACCCAGAACTACCCCAGTGCCAACTTTACAATTGCCACCAACAAGTTTTGGATCCTGGAGACTCGTGGGCCTTGTTAGGCACAGTTCTGCATAAGTGACTTCCTCCAACGTCTACGAATAATGGAAAAGAAAAACAGACAGACTGTGACACAAAACAACTCTTTTAAGAGATAAGCATTCAGTTGTGAGGTATCTAAAGCAGTGGTATTCAACCTGGGGTACGCGAAGACATCATAGGAGGTACGTGAAATTAAAAAAAAATATATTATTTTAAGATAAACACTGAATAATCAGTAATGTAATTTATTTAATTTATTTTAGAAGTAGATTATATACTATGTATTACTTCAATTATACACCAACAACTTTGGGGGTACAAAGTTGAAAATAAATTATATCTGGGGGTACGCGAACAAAAAAGGTTGAATACCACTGATCTAAAGTATGAAAATAAATGTCAACATATTAATAAAACAGCAGCCTCATATTTGCATTTCGTTTGCCTGTTTATAAATATATTCCTTAAAACATTAGTAACAACTGTTAAGGTCCGAACTTCAAAAACTTATCAGAGCTTCTTATAAATTTTATGATGTTAACTGGGGCTGTCGTCAGTAACTTTGAATCCTAGCGTCAGTTTTAATCTCCATCTGTAGTAACAATGTTCTTTATCCCAGCCGGGACATCGTGAGAAGCAGCAGTCAGATTCTAGACAGAAGTGTAACTTGTTTCGTCTTTGCTATTTTGGCTTAAGTTAGACTCGCAACTGGCACGAAGTGTCACACTTGGATGCCACAACAACCCGACGTTACATCCACTGGCATTTCAAACAGAAAGCAAGATTTTAATAAACCTAACGTTAAAAGTCTCCGGATTCTTAGGGCATAGTTCTCGTGGAGTCAGTGACAATGCAGATTCACCGAGGTCTTATTAGCTCCTTTGTGTACTAAAAAGAACTTTATTTAGATATAAATTTCCATTCATACATAAACACAAATCATTTTTCCTTTCATCATAAAGTCATTCACTAAGTAACTCTATATTTTAACCTGAACATCAATATATGGCACAGAATGACAAGATGATTAATGAATAACAAATTATAAGAATATTTATGGAAGCAGTAACTATTCACAGTCTCAGAATTACCTAAGGCACTGAAGAGAATTACAAAAATAAAAACCTCGGTCAGGGTACCTGGTCTCCAGGCCGAGATTCGAATCATGATATTCCCGAAAGCGTACCTTATGGCCACGATATTCGGTTCCAGACGTTCGCCTTTTATATTGGACATTAATTATTCGTTCACTCTTTTTCACTGCTTTGTCCCTTTGTGTCTTCATACTTCTGTTGAGTCACACATTTGACTTATCGATTTCGTTAACTGTTATCCTACATACGAATCGGTAGTCTTCCTTGTGATTCGCACACATTCGACTTGATATAGTTTTAAGAATACTGAGGATACAGGCAGGAGAAATAAGTACATTTTTACTGTTTGCATTAAACTTACCGAATGACCCGGTGGAGGGCATCTGTCCCGGTTATTCTTGAAGTTTTCGAAAAGGTCTCCGTTCCTGGAAACATTGTTTCGTTTGGGATGTTCATCGTAAGAGGGCAGCTCAGGCGGCGTCTGGTTATTTATGCCTGGCGTCTGTGTCTCAGACACCAACTGGTAGTCTGAGTCTGAAAGTAAGACGGACAGAACGGAAACTAGAACAAATGGTCTGACAGCAAATATGAATGCAGCAGGCTGGAGTTTTTCTTAAAATATTCGGAGCATCTCCATTACATTCTGTATAAATGTTTTCGTTATATTATACAAAGAGCTTGCAAAGAGCTTTTGGCCTATTTAGCGGCCGTGAAGATGGAACCTGAAAGCAGTTAGAAGTACATACAGCAAAACATGACACAATACATGGTGTGCAAAGAAAAATTCATTTAACATTTAAAATCCTATTGCCACAACAGTGTCAGAAGCGAAGTAACTGTGAACAGAACACAATCACGGGGTGTTGAATTCCATACTTATTGCTCCATTACAGTTAACATTTCCATTCCTTTTATAATATTTATTTAATTACTTCTTATGCTAAGTGTTATAGATTGTAATAATATGTGAAGCCAGAGGGTAGCGGTAATTTGTCCCTGAGCTTTACGCCCACATATGTACAGTTTTGCAGATTTCCGGGAAAGGTCAGAATTACATCGTAAATGCAGTTCTGATCTGTTACTTTTGTTCCACAATACATTAACTTCAAAACGTTTCCGGAGGATTTGAAGCTGTATTATTGTTTTAGATAATTACGTATTTTACCTTTTACAATCAAGGTATAAATAAATATTTAATTAACGTGTGTGTGTTTTAAGGGACGTATTCGATCCTTGCGCCTATTCACTCTGAGTGCGCTTTTCCTAATTTACATTAATTACTTTACAATTTCATATTCTTACTGCTCTGCCTGATTTTAAAATACAGACCTCTGTCGGGATGAACACCCTTACGAGAAACAAGATTATTCCATATCTTCAGAGCTTACAGCATGCACAGTTCATTAGCATGCATTTGAACCAATTTGCTGATAAGCTTTCTTAAGTTGAATATTAATTAAGAACCACGTCCCCTTTGTACAATTTCTGATGCCCATTTCTATTTGGTGATTTGGTGTACTGGGCCAGTTGAAGAGAACTGTGTAGCCTAGGCCTTACTGCTGGGTGTTTGCTGTGTTGAAACAATGTATTACAGTCTGTTGGGAAATCATTCCATTGTTTCGTGCCCTATCTTTGCTTACTCTGACGCCCTCTCCACCATGGTGGAGCAGGTAATGGGGTGTACGTGACCCGAGGGAGGCCTGTCAGAGAGAAGCCAAACCCCGCCCCCATATCTCTCTCTCTAGAAACCCCTTTTCCACCCCAAAACCTTTTCACATTTGAACTGTCCAGTTCACCTTTACAATAATGTTACAACTCCATTAGGTTAATACTCACGTTTCTTGATCTCTGAATTGCACTTTTTATATCACGTTTATGGTTTAATCTTTAAGAAGTAACATGGACGTAGATGGAATTGGAAAACAAAAGGAAAGCTAACTAAGAAACTCCAGTCCATAATCTGAATTTACGTGACGCTAACGAGACTAGAGTAATTACTGATAAGTGTCTCATGTGAACATAATCTAAAGCTGCAACAGAACTCAAAGCTAATATAAACAGTTCGAAATAAAATTATAAATGATCAGAAATGTAGTTTTAATAAGAAACCGAACTGTGCAATTATTGTTGTACTTAATAATGTAAAGTAGTGATAAATAATACTAATAATTCAATTCAATTAATTTATTTAAGTGCTTGACAACAGCCAATAACAGTCAAATACTGAAAAACAATATAGGATGAAATATAATACAATAATAACAATAATAATCATAACAATAACAGAAATGGATATTAATTAAACGGTCTTTGAGAATGAGGAAGAATTCATCCGGCTTAGAACAGACAGGGACCAATAATTGGTTATTGTGAACACGGTAACGAACCTTTGAATTATATATATAAGGTGGAAAACTGTTTGAGTAGCTGAGCAGAAGAAGAGGGTACATTGTCGACCTGTACGCCTTAATTACGTAACACTATTGCACTATATGATGTCAAGATTTCACGGCGGCGTTCATTAATAAAGTCTTCTCGGGCTATCAGACATGTTAGTTGGTGATCAATCGCCGACGTTTCGAGGACCATCTCTGTCCTCATTTTCAATGCTGTTGACTGTGTGGCTCGTGCTACGAGATGGTCCTCGAAACGTCGGCGACTGATCACCAACTAACACGGCAGATAGCCCCAGAAGACTTTACTATTGCACTAGCTTCACCATTCTTTAAAAATTTAAAAGAAAAAACAAGTCTTTCGGAAGAAAAATGTAACAAACAAGCAGAATTTTAACAATCTTTACGTTAGAATAGTATTTTGACATGGTATATGAACGCTTGGTTTCCGTAATAAATCCCTTTTCAGTGATCACTGCCATCGTTGTGTGACGTCTGACAGCCAGAATCCCACGGAGGCCAACAGCAACTAACCAGTCGCTTCTGACTGTGTCACGTATAAAGTACGTGCACACGTACCTCGGAGGCTATCGCAGTGTGTAGGAGGAGACGCTTCCACGACACACTAAGCTTGGACTAAATGGGAACCTGCCATTATCGCAAGAGAATCATTTCCCGATAATATAATTTCGCTCCTTACTCTGCCTTACGAAATTTATCCTCAAAGGGACATCCCAAGCGCAATAGGACAAGACATAAACCCGAAAGCCGACAGAATATTTTAATATAAATAATATAAAGTAAATAAAGATAGGTATATATATTTATTATTATTAGTGTTCTGTCTGGCGACAGGATCCTTCCATCCTTTTCTCGGACTGGGACCTGTTCATATACGTTCTTGGCAGATGATCCAGAAGTGGTTTGCCATTGCCTTCTTCTGTGTGTGA